GGGGTTGGGGGGGAAGGGGGGGGCGATGGTGGATGGAAAGTGGGTGGTGTGTGGGGGGGGATGGATGGGTGGGTGGGTGGGTGGGTGGGTGGGTGTGTGGTTTGTGAGCAGGACGGGAAGACGAGCGCGACGAGATGGGGAGGATGAGGCCGCCTGGGGGGGCGCCAAGAGAATCGCCCTTCGTGCATCGCGGCCTGGGTTGGAGAGTGCCAGAGAGGCGCCCTTCTGCAGGGCGGCGGCACGAAGGTAACCGCGCGTCGCGCATCACGGGGGGCCACTCGCGAAGCCGGGTGACCTAGGAGGAGGGCCCCCTGACCCGCGGCCTCGTCCTCGTCGTCTTCATCCTCCCGCGTCCGACGCCGTTCCGGCTCGAGGCCACCAGGGGGGCCAGCCTGGAAGGCGGCGGCGCTCCCTTCCCCCTCCTCTCCTTTGGGCAGTGCAAAGGAAGGCGGCCATTCGGGAGGCCAACAGCTCCTTGAAATCGAGGGCAGAGGAGGAAGGAGGATCGAGGATCGGTGAGGTTTCGAACCTTTGCCAGCATCTTTGGAAGTCTTGGTCTTGGGAGGATCTGAAGGGTTCCAGGGGGGTCCGGCTCCGCTTCCTCGAGGAGGTGTCGACCTTCCTTGTGGAGATCTTCCCTTGGCATTGCCCGGCTCTTACCCAGGGGTCGACCTAAAAGGTGTTCCGGCGATTCCGTGGGCCGTTTCCGTTTGGATTCTCTTCTGCAGCAAAGACGGATTGGAGACAAAACGAGGGAAAACGCAAACAAAACGAAATCGAAAAACATTGTTCTGGTCGAGCCCTGCTCTCACCCCTTCCCGCCTGCATCTCCTCCTCCGCCAGACTCTTCACCCCTCCACGCGGCGGCGGCGGCGGCCCCCTTCGGCGGCCCGGCGATGTACGCCGCGGCCGCCGTGGCCGCGGTTGGTGCCCGCAGCATCTTCACGTACAACCGGGGCAACTTCATGTACGACAGGAAGATGCGGCAGAAGCAGGATCGTCGGCGCGCCGAGGGGAGGGAGCGTAAGGGGGCAAGCCTTCTCGGAAGGCAGCGGGGCTCCTCAGAAGCCCTCTCCGGCCTTCGGGAGACCTCCTGAGGCCCCACCGGAGGAGGAGGAAGCCCTCCAGCCTTCTGAGGAGCCCCCTTCTCAGAAGCCCTCCGGCCTTCCGATACCTCCTCCTCCTCGGGGGGCCCTCTGAGACCCCCTCCTCCTTCTCAGAAGCCGTTATAGCCCTCCTCCTATTCTCAGAGGCCCTCCGGCCGTCAGAGGCCTCCGGCTCCGGAGGAGGCCCGGAGAGGTCCTCGGAAGGCCGGCGGCTTCGTGAGCCTCCTGGGCAGGCCAGCCCCCCCACCCTGCCTTTCCCCCCCCTATGGGGCGGGCCGCCGGAGGAGTTCAGCGTGCTGAAGTTCCGCACCATGCAGGCGTCGAGGGTGGACAGAGCCCCCAACAGTGACACGTCGATTAGTGAAGTGTCCGTTTTCGGTTCTCGAGAGGGCGCCGTGGCCGTTATTTTCCAGGCTTGCGCCCGCCAGGTTTGGGCCTCAGGTCGTTCTCACTAAACCACGTTTTACTAAAGGGGGGTCTGTCCATCCCCGACAGGCGGACCTGTGGCGGGAGGACGTCCGGACGCTCGTGGAGCTGACCGTCGGCAAGATGGACTCCTACACCATCGTGTCCGCGCTCCTCTTCGAGTTCTGCGGGGAGCTCTTCGGGCCGGGGCACCTCGACCCGGGGACGCCGCAGTGGCTGCTGTGGCTGTACATGCTGGCGCTGTCGGGGGCCTTCGTCTACTTCTTCCTCGGCGTCTTCTTTGCGATGCATGCCTCGGTCGGCCCGGCGGCGCGCAGAATGACGAACGAACAACACACACCCATACCCATAAGGGCGGTCGTTGGGAGGAGGACTCGCTATGGGCATGGGTGCGGGTCGTCGGACCCTGGGGAACGCTCCCGTTCGAACGGGGGCCCCTATCCGACAACACGTACCCATAGCCCTCTCCGACCCCCCTATGGGTATGGGTGTGTGTTGTTGGTTCGTCACAGAAGGAGGAGGGGGCGAGGGGGGCCGGTTCTCCAATCGGCTACCGGGTGACCTTTGGTGCGCGGCTTTCGGGGGGGGTGGGGGCGCGGGAGGGGACAGACCCAGGGCACGCGGGCCTCCACTGTGGCACCGCACGCAGCACACGCAGCGATCGATCGGCAATCCGCGCACTAAAGATCGCCCTTGCCTATAAAGTCATTCTTGCGCGTGGGGCCGATCCACGACGGCGGGGGCGTCCCTGAAGGGATCGAAGGCTTCTCAGAGGGCCTCTCAGAGGGCGGGCGGGCTTCCAAGGAGGCCCGTGCCACAACTGGACTGGGCCAGGCTGACGGCGGCCTGAGCGAAGCTGCCCGCGTTGCGGCATCATGGGGCAGCGGAAGTGTGCACGGAGAGGACGTTTTCAAAACGTCCATCACACATGGATAATGATTCGCATTGCCTTGCGCGGCAACTGGCGCAGAGGCAATTTTCTTGAAAGAGACATCTGCTGAGGTGGCCAAGCTGCTCTCTCACTCGCGCGGCGGAAAGCCGAAATTGCGGCTCCTTGCGCCCCACAAAACAAAGAATGGCATGAATAGAGCGGCATGTGTAGAGTTGTGCCTGTACTGATTGCTTTACCATTGTAAATCATATGGGGTAAAGTTCTGCACATGCTGTCCTGTACATGCCCCCAAGGTCGGGCAGTCGGTGTGGCCTGTGAACGGCGTGGCCCGGATCCTGGCTGCTGCGACGGCCCATCTCCGACGCGGGCACTCGGCTGCACGGAGGAGGCCCCTCCACTGGCATCGCTCGGACGTGTGCATGTTTTCTCGGCGAGAACCATCGATGACCATCCTGGACCCTCGGGCAACAAAAGAACACGCACGAAGCCGAAAAGTGCACGGGACACGGACGTCCGAGCGACGGCAAGCTCCCGCAGGGAGCGCGGGCAGACGGCACCGACCCGCCCCCGCCCGCGGCCGAGGCCCTGCAAGCCGCGCCGGGGCCCCGCGGGGGCCCTGGTCTTCGGGGGCCGCTCCCCGCGGCTGGGCCAGAGGAGCCTCCCCGTGGCCACGGGGTGCCCCCCTGCGGTTCCTCGTGGCCAGGGGTGCCCCCTCGTGGTCCCTCCTCGTGGCCAGGGGAGCCTCGTGGCCAGGGGAGCCTCCTCGTGGCCAGGGGAGCCTCCTCGTGGCCAGGGGAGCCTCCCTCGTGGCCAGGGGTGCAGCCTCTGTGGTTCCTCCTCTGGCGCCCTCTCTCACGGCACGACGGCCGCCACAGTGCCGCGCCGCACCGCGCCGTGGCGGCCCGCGCCGCCTGGCCGCCCCTGGATCAGGAGGGAAAGAAGCACACAGACAGAATAAAAATCGTCGAACCCACAGGGAATATGGGAAAATATGGGCAGTGGGGGGGAAGACAAGAACCCAGGAAATATTTGAAAGTATGGGGAATCTCGTTATTTATTTGTGTGTGTAGATGTTTGTGTGTCCTTGGGCCCCTTCAAGGGGGGCGGGCAGGGGGCACGCCGGGGGCGCGAGGGCCTACTGGATCCTCGCGCCCCCCTCGAAGAGCGGAGGCCCCGAGGCCTCCTCGATCTCCGGGCCCTCCTCGGGGATCTTCGGAGATCCTCCTCGAGCCTCGCACCCCTCCCGAGGAGCCTCGCGCCCTCCTCGATGCCTCGCGTCCTCCTCGGCCTCCGAGCCCCTGCGCCGCGCCGCCAGGTGGCCGCCTCGGCCGGCTCCGCGCGGCTGCTCACGCAGCTGGTGAGGCTGCCGGTGCCCAGTTGGTACCAGCTGGAGGGGATGCGGACCTACGGCGATTCCGTGGAGGCCCTGGGCGCCAGCAGCCTACTGCGTATCCCCTTCGTCTCGGCAGTCCAAAGATCTGGACGCCCGAAATGGGTACGGAAAAAATGGGCACAATGCCCAACAGCAGTTCCTGTTCATTTTAAACAGGGTTCGCTGTCCACGCCGCCGCGGCCTGTGTCCATTCGAGACAGAAGGCCGCCTGCCCAACAGAGGCCGCTGTTGGTTTGGGACAACATTTGTTGTTGGGCATCGTACCCATTCTTTCCGTACCCATTTCGGGCGTCCACAAAAGGTGGGGCCCCGGTTCTTTCAAGATGCCGAAGAAAAGAAGAAGAAGAAGAAGAAGAAGAAGAAGAAAAAGCATCATCGACATACATCAAACACCTTCGACGGTCCGCGCGGATCTCCTGAACCTGCGCTGGAGCCCCTTGGCGGCGCCTCCAGCGCCGCCCCTGGCGCGCTCCGCGCGCCAGGGTGGGGGTCCAGCCCAGATCTAAGAAATCTGGGCTGACCGTCGAAAGTGTATGTTTCTGTTTGCGCATGTTGCTCCTGCTCCAGGATGGGAAGGGCTCTCAGGTTGGATTCTCATGATTTCAGGCGCCTCGTCCCTGGGGCCCCTTGCCTCAGCACCCCACCCTTGGACCGCCGATCGTCAGCCCGCCGCACCCCAACGCCCGCAGCCCCGCGCGCGGGGACGCCCTCGGGCGCGGCGAGGACCCAGACCCAGCACCCAGGCCTCCGACGCCGCGGTCTGTCCAAAGCCGGCTTCTTGTTCACCCACGCGACGATTTGGGATGGTCAGGCTTGAAGAAGAGAGTTCCCGACCTGCTTCGCACACCCTGAAAGCCGCGGCCGCCGCGCCAAACGTGTGCCAGTGCTTCTTGGATGTCCTTCCTCGTGCCTTCGACGAGTTGCGACTGCATACCGCGGCCGCCTGGCCCAAAGCGTGCAGGTGCTGCCTGAAATTCCCGCCTCGCGTTCTCGGGCGGGGATCGCTCGAAGCTGCAAGGTTCCATGATTGTTGCCTCGGGTGTTCCGCATGGGGCCGCCAAAGAGGGTGATTCATGGCAAGAGGACAGTCCCCAGGAAGGACTCGGCAGGAGACCGTTTTTATCCTTTGGCGATAACGGGCGTGACCTGGATTCGCGCCAGCGCTGCCTGGGAATGCCTCAGGCATGGCCAACTCCCAGACGGCGCCAGCGCGAATCGTGATGTGACCAGGGGGTAGAGGGTGGGGGGGGGGGTCGGTCACGGGCACGATCGCGAAGAAAAAGGCTCCCGGGACCCTCCCCGGGCCCGTGGGGGCCGTCGAAGGAACGATTCGGGATGAAAGCGTGGAGTTCGGCGACAGCCCTGTGGTCCAGGGGCCCGTCGTGATCGCGAATCACAAAGAAGTTGGCTCCAGGTCGGGGGGCCGCGCATTGAGAGATTCGGGGCGTCGGAGGCCTGGTGAGCCGCGGGAAACCCGCCGGGCGGTGGTCCGCAGAGCGTCGACCCGTGGGACCTCGAGGCGGACGGGAGGCACGTGTACGAGCTGCAGCAGAGGCCCGCCACGCGCAGAGGGGGGTGGAGAGAGGGGGAGGGCTCTCCTCAAGCGCCCCTGCTTCTCGGAGGGCGCGAGCCTTGCCTACGCCCTCTCTAGACGAGAGGTCGCCAGGGTTGTTCGGTGAGTGGGTTCTGGCTGTGATGTCTCACAGACCCCCCAAAAGGTCTGAACTGTGCGTCGGCCCACTCCCGGTGCTTCTCCGCGTCGCGCTCCAACGACCAATAGGACTCTGCCAGACTCATCCTGTTTGTGATTCCCCGCCTGAAGTTCCAACCACCAATGAGAAAGAACAGTTGCAGCTCGGAGTGCAGGACGGACGTGGTGAGAAAGCAAGTCGCGGACATGCATCCTCTCCTGCCGCGCCTCGCCCGCGTGAAGGTACAAAGCAATGATGCGCAGAGAGCCCGCAGGGCCGTCCAGCCGCAGAATGGCCGCGCGGCCAGCGCGGCCAGGCACGTGCTGAAACCCCAGACGCCGCTGATGCACCGCCGAACTCTGCCAGGAAGCTCTCCGTGACAGTGATGCCGACGCCCCCGACCAACCGAGTGCCGTGTGACCACCAGCCGTGCACGCTCCGCGGCCAGGACGCGGCTCCTGCCAATGAGGCCTGCGCGTTCCAGCCGCGCCCGACGACGTCGCCTGCACAGCGGCTGCAGCGGCACTGGCTGCGCCCGCCGCCCGGGGGCCCCATCCCCGAGGAGGCACCGGGGGTGTCTCAGGAGAGGGAAAAACACACAGACACAGACACAATTAATCGTCGTCTCCTTGGAAAATATTGGAAAATATGGGAAGTGGGGGGGAAGAGTAAAACTCAGAAAATATAGGGGAATCTGGTGATTTGTGCCTATTTACTTGTGTGTCCCAGTTCCCCTTCGGTGGCGGCGAGCGGCGCGGGGGCCGCCGCAGAGGGACCCGTCGTCGTGGGCGGCCGTGGGCGCCCGCCGGTGCTGCCCGTGGCCGGACGGGCGGCCGCCCGCCCGGCGGCCGAGAGCGAGCGCATCGTGGAAGAAGACGAAGAAGAAGACGAGGAAGACGAGGAAGACGACGAAGACTAAGAAGAAGACGGAGAAGACGAGGAAGACGAAGAAGAAGACGAAGAAGGCGAAGAAGAAGACGAAGACGACGAAGGCGACGAAGAAGAAGACGAAGAAGACGAAGAAGGCGAAGAAGACGAAGCAGACGAAGCAGACGAAGAAGACGAAGAAGACGAAGAAGAAGACGAAGAAGACGAAGGAGACGAAGACGACGAGGAAGACGAAGAAGAAGACGAAGACGACGAAGAAGACGAAGAAGACGAAGAAGAAGACGAGGAAGACGAGGAAGACGAAGAAGCCTCGACGGGCGCGAAGACGAAGAAGAAGGCGCAGAGGCTGACGCCAGGCTCCCAATCGACGAAGGCAAGGACGCCGAGGGGGCACGGATGGGCGACGGAGCAGCACCGCCGCGCGCTGAGGCATGAGCAGTCCGAGTAGCCGGCGGCGGGGACGCGGCGCCGTCCACGGCGCAGAAGCAGAAGTTGGCGTCGGAGATTCAAGCAGTGGCGAAGCGTCCTGGCGTGCCTATAGGCCTACCAAACAATGTTCTAAGAACCTTCTGTGGTTCCCACGAAATTGTCTTAGAACATTTCTGACTGGGACTGTCTTGTTTTATCACATCGGGTTCATGTTCTAAGAACATTGTTTCTGTTCTTAGAACATTGTTGGGTTCTAAGAACATTTCGTGATAGGACTATAGAAATGCCGGGACGGTAGGTCCCTGCTCAAAAGCAGGAGTTGGTGTCGGAGGTGAAGGCGAGGAGGCAACCGAATGCGAAGAGATTGTGCCACTGTGCGTTGACAAGTGCTGACAAGCGCCGTCTCCGCCGGGAGACGTCGCGCGGACGCGACGGGCGAGGGCCGTGAAGTAGAAGACAAACTGGAAGGCCAGCACATCAATGAAGAAGACGGGGAAGAAGAAGAAGAAGAAGAAGACGAAGATCGTCTCGGCACGGACGTCGAGTTCGTTGAAGTAGCGCCCGGAAGCCCCTATTCCCACCAAGTCATGAGCATTGATTCGGACGCAAAAGTCCAGCCCTCCAGTGGGCGCGCGGTGGCTGGGGGTGTCCCGCGGTGGTGTCCGGCGTTGTCTCGATGGTGTCCCGCAGTGTCTCGCCGTGGTGGTCCGATGGTGTCTCATGGTGTCCCGTGGTTCCCGTGTCCTGGAGTATGCAGTGGTGTCCCGCGGTGTCCCGCAGTGTCCCGCCGTGGTGTCCTTATGGTGTCCCGATCGATCGTGAGATCGATAACGATCGAGATGTGGTGAGATCTATCGTTTAACCGATAGTGAGCTCGATAGTGAGATCGGGAGTTGCAACGATCGTGCGAGCGGCACTGAGATCGATAGTGAGATCGGTAGTTGCATCGATGGTGCAATCGAAAGTGACGCCGATAGTACGATCGATCGCGAGATCGACAGTGAGATCGATAGTGGGATCGATTGTGAGCTCGATTGTGAGATCGATTGAGAATGCTTCAGAGATCGAATGCGAAATCGGCAGTGAGATCGGTCGACTGAGATCAATAAGAAGTACCGGTTGTGATATCGATAGTGGGATCGATTGCGGGATCGATAGCGAGATCCGTTGAGTGAGATCGGTTATGAGATCGGTTGTGAGATCGATCAAGTGAGATCGCCAACTCGGGCGCGCCACCAGCATCGTCATCATCACACCCATCGCAGTTGCGAGCAGTTGGTTCTTTCGCCTCCCCCCAACCCCCCTGTCACCAGAAGGGTTGCCGTATTGTGTAGGAAAGGGAATATGTCAGGAGGGGGGAAAAAAAACACGGACACAATTAATCGGCGATTCCCAGAACATATGGGAAAATATGGGAAGTGGGGGGGGAGACAAAACCCAGAAAATATGGGAAAATATTGGGGGATATTTTTATGTGTGTGTATTTATTCGTGTGTCCCACTTCAGTCTGTGTGTGGGGCCGGCGCCTTCTAAGGAGCCGCTTCCCAAGAAGCCTCCCCCTGCCCCCTCTTAGCGCGCCGCCGAGAGGCCCACGGGGGAGCTGCGCCACGTGGACCTCGTCCGGCGAGCCGCGGCCACGTGGCAGGGCTTCGAGGCGTTCACCCGCGTGTGCATGACCATGGGCACGATCCAACTGCTTTACGCAGTCTCCTACTACGTCATCGGGTACGTCCTGGTCCAGGACGGAGAGGTGCTGGGCCTCCCAGACTTGGCATCGTTCGGGCGTGTGCATTTTTCCTTCGGCGAGGACCCTCGAGGAGCATCCTTGACCATTTGGCGAAAAAACCACGCACGAAACCGAAAAAACACAGGGAATGGACGTCCGAGCGATGGCGAGCAGATGGGGTCCGAATAGAGGGGGCCGAGGGGTCGCGCCGCATCGCCGCTGCATCGGCGATGCGGCTCGATGTGGGGCCGACTTTCTCCACGCAGACTGCCGCCGATGCATCTCCGACGTCGACGAAGCATCTCCGGTGCATCTGCGTCAGCGATGCATCTGCGATGTGGCGCGACCCTCCGACCCCATCTACTCGGACCCCATTTGGGAGGCCTCTCGAGGTCTACGGTGCATTGTTTGTCGCTGCGATTATGACTTGCAGCATCGCTGTGATCGTCCGGCTGGACGTGTCTCTCACGGCAGAAGAGTTCTATGTCGTCATGGCGTTGGCCTTCTCTGGCCCCCTGTCTGCCTTAATCGCGGGGTATTGGTGGTGCAAGTACGAGGCACAGTTGTCTGTGTGCGCGCTCATGATATTGCCCCTGTCGTTCGCTGCCCACGGGGGGCTCCTTGCCTACGTGCTCCAGATCATGAGCATACAGGAGCAGCCAAACCGCACCCTGCTGCCCATGCGGTGGCGGACGGTGCTCTATCTTGACGTCTTCGGTTGGCTGGCTTCGGACTCGGCGCCGGATGGCCCGAGGGAGGCCGGGGGCTACGAGAAGGCGTTCCGGCGCGCCGACGACGGCGCTTACGTGCCAGCTGGTGAGCCCGACGCTGGCAGCCTGTGCAGCGAGCAGCGCGCGCAGGACGACGACGAGGACACGGACGCGAGATCGGTGGACGAGCACGTGGGAGCGGCCAGCGGCAGCAGCCTCGAGGGCGATGCTCCCTGGAGCTCCGTGCCCGAGTTCGACATCGGCAGCCCGCCCCGGCCAGTGCGGCCCGAGAGCAGGGGGCCTCTCTCGCCCCGCACGCAGCACAGCATGTCCCACTGCACCAGACACGTCAGCGAGCACGTGGAGGGCGTCGGCGCCCCGGGCGCCGTCCACGACGCCCACGGCGAGGCGTTCGACGCGGACACCTACTTCCCGGCACAGAATGTGAAGAGTAGCCAGGAGCAGGACGAGGCCGTGACTGGGCACGACAATTTTCGCGGCATGGCCCCCTGGTTCGTCTTCAGAAGCATCACGCGGCTGCTGGCCTTCTTGTATTTTTTGGGAATGTTTTGGTGCTTGGGGCGGGTGTGCGGCTTCCCCGACTTCCACCTGCCGCCGCTGCCCTTCAAGGTGCTGCTCAAGGAGCCCACCCATGAGGGCGCGGCGGAGGACCGCGGCTCCCAGGACCAAGCCGAGGAGTCGCAGCAGCAGCTGGGCGAGGACAGCGACCCGCTGCAGGTGCACGAGGCACCTCGCAGGCTCTTGCAGCTGCCCCAGGGGGAGCGCCTGGACGTGCAGTGGCCGCGCGGCGAGCTCGGCTCTCCGCCACGCGCGCTGAGCTGCGACGCCAGTGGGCAGTACCTGGCGGTGGCCGACGGATTTGGGGTCTACTCCGCACGGCTCGCGGAGCAGGAGCTTGTGGCACCCAACGCGTCCGCGAGGTTCATCTCACGATTCGCTCAGGCACCCGCCTGCTCGGCGCTGGACGGCCAGTCGCCACGAGACGTGAGCATCGTGTGCGCCAACGCTGACGAGCGGCATGGTCCTCCGCAACACTGCGCCGCGGTGGTGATGTACGCGGACGGTGGGGCCTCGCTCGTGGAGTGCCCCTTACCCGGAGCACCGGGCAGCCGCGAGCGGCGCGAGCAGTTGGGCCCCAAGGCTACGGGCCACGACACCACCAGTGCCGCAGGATTGGCCTGGCGTGTCCCCGCAGGCTGGCTGGACGAAGCCACCAGTGAGCAGATAGAGTCGTTCGCTGTGGACAGCAGGTGTGCGGCCGCCCGCGGCGACTCGGTGACGTTCTCTCCAGGCTTGCCTGGCTGTGTGCTGGTCAGCACCTCCAGGGGAAGGCTCGCGCTGTTGCGCCCGCACGTCTCGCGTGGGGCCCATGTGTTGGTGCCGCTGTGGGCACTGTCACTGCCGTACGGCCCGCGGCTAGCCCTGCCGATGCCAGGCGGCTCCCTGCACATCCTGCCGGGCGGCCTGGCGTTGGTGCTGGCGCGGCCCCCTGCCCCTGTCACTCGGGATGCCCGCAGCAGGAAGAAGCGCGCTGCCGCACGTGCATCGCAGGGCGCCCATTCCTTGGCGCCGCTGCCGTACCTGGTGCTGGCCGTGAGCCTGGAGACGGGCACCGTCGTGGGCAGCTGGGCCCTGCCGCAGGGCGCGAAGTGGTCCGCGGTCTGCGGCGGGGACCGCTGGCTGCTGGCCTTGGGCAGCGCAGAGCTCCCCGAGGGCGGTGGCCGCACCAGCAGGGCGGACACGTCGGTCTGGCGCTTCCCGATGCCGCGCGAGCTTGCGCCGCCGGCGGCCCCCGCGCCCGAGGCGGCGTCGGCCTGAGCGCGGCGGCGCCGCGCGCCCCCAAACGGGCAGCACCCTCCGCGCCACGCTTCGCGCGCGCGGAGGGGCACGGGAGAGAGGGAGCCCTCTGCCGCTCGCTCGGCGGCGGCCTCCGCTGCTGCAGGCCGTGAAGCGCGGCGGGGGCCAGCGGACGGGGAGCCCAGCCCGTGGAGGTCCAGGCCTTGGCGCGGTCCCTGCTCGGGAGGCGGGTTTTTTGTAGGGTCCAGCGGTGGCCCAGGTTGGCGGGCCCACCTGTCCCCTCTCCCCCCCCCGCGGATCGCCTGACCGTGTCGGCTGCGCAGGTCCGACGGGGCACGCAACACTGGTGCGCGCGGGCACACGTGGGGCTGCCCAGGGCGAGAAGGTTCGGTTCTCGGCCGTCATCATCCCCCGCACCCACCCGGATCACTCGAGTTATCGCCGATACATATTGCAGGGCCTCCAGTCGGGGCGAGCTAGACGGCCTAGAATTCTCCCTCGATGCAGTCGGCACGTCTGGACCATGAGGGGCGTTTTTGGTTCGGAAGGGAGTCGGGGTTCCTGCCCTCCTCCGGCTCTTCTGTGGGCCTCCTGGGAAGTCTCGGCCTGGTCAGGCCAAGAGAAGGGACCCTACTCTTACCCCAGGGGGCCCTCGAGGCCCGAGAGGGGCCAGAAGCGACCCTGAACTTCGAACCCTCAAGCCTCGAACCTCGATCCTCGAGCCCGTTCCCCGTTGACAAACAGCATCCTCGCCGCAAGACTACGAGTGCAGGCCATCCAGAGGCCGCGATTGTCCCTGGACCCATCTCCTCTGCCTTCCTCCCACCTCACGCCTCCTCCTCCTCCTCCTCCTCCTCCTCCTCCTCGTCCTCCTCCTGCTTTTTTTGACGTTGAGCGGACTTTAGCCCCCTGGATTGTAGCGTTAAAACTGCTCCTCCTCCTCCTCCTCCTCCTCCTCCTCCTCCTCCTCCTCCTCCTCCTCCTCCTCCTCGTCGAGTGCCCCTCGACCCTCGAGGATCGTGGCTTTCGAGCGCCGTTTCGGGCCTCCTCTGTGCCGGAGGCCTCCGGGCGACCTTACCTCCAGCGGCTCCAGCCGTCCGATGCCCCCCACCGTTGCCCGTGGCGCGCCGCGCGCAGGGCCAGCTGCGCCCCTCCTCCCTTGTTCGCCAGGGGGGCGACGGGTCCCGAGGGGAACGGCTCCCGAGGTTCTCCGCCGTCGTCGGGCTCTCGGGGGCCTCCACGGGCCCCAGGACTGCCGGAAAGCGACCGGGCAGGAAGAGGTGCGAAGCTTGGCATCGCTCGAACGTGTGCATCTTTTCTCGGCGAGGACCACCGAGGAGCATGTTGCTCACCCTGGGAAAAAAAAACACGCACGAAACCGAAAAAATGCACAGGGCATGGACGTCCGAGCGATGGCGAGGAAGGGGGGAATGCCCCAGCGATGGCGAGCGATGGCGACGGACGTCCGAGCGATGGCGATGGCGATGGCGATGGACGTCCGAGCGATGGCGATGGCGATGGAGCGATGGCGAGCGATGGCGACGGACGTCCGAGCGATGGCGATGGCGATGGCGATGGACGTCCGAGCGATGGCGATGGCGATGGAGCGATGGCGAGCGATGGCGATGGACCTCCGAGCGATGGCGATGGTCCAGGACCCGTTTCCGTCGGGACCCATTTCCCCCCTGCTGGTCTGCTCGGGTCGGGCGCGAGGGGGGGGTCAGCCGAGGGTCGGCGGCGAGCCCCGGGGGGGGGGCGCGGGAGGCGGCGGGCCCTCCCGGGAGGCGGCGGGGCTTCGCGGAAGCCCTCGCGCTTGCTGAGAAGCCGTCCGTGCCTTCGGAGGCGGCCCGGGATGCGGGCAATAGTTATATCCACGTCCAGTGAGTCTTAGAGTTTTGGGTTACCTTCCCCAGAAACTGGAGGCGCACTGGATATGGATAAACATCTGGCCCCCATAGGCATATCCAGTGCGACTCGGCCTCGCGGTACCCCTTCCCAAACAATCCAAGACGCTCTGGATATGGATATAAGTATTGCCTGCACGGAAGGCTGCTCAGAAGGTGCGCGGGCAGCCTTCGGAAGGGCTGGGGCCAGTCCTCAAAGGGAGGTGCCTCGGGGACCAAGGAATGATGTGAGCAGAGATTTCGGAGCTCCGCGCGGACTTCTCGGGGCACGGGTGCCACTGACCATCCGAGAAATCCGCGCGGACCGTCGAAAGGTGATGTTTCTGCAGTTGTTCCTGCTCGCGCATCCGCTCGCGCAGCTGGCTTCCCGTGAGCCTTCCTGCACCGGGAGGCGCCGACGCATCGAGGAGAGGCACCCAGCGGCGGGGCCGAAGCGCGCTGCACGCAGCTGGTTTCGCACCTCCCCTTTTGGCCCCTGTCCCTTACTTGTTTGATTCGCGGGTCGAGAGCGCACCTCTTCCGGTCGAAGCTAAGCGGGCCGCGCGAAGCTTGAATTACCCAGGGATGGGGGAGGGAAAGGGGGGGCGTAGCCTCAGAACGAGGCCGGGAGGAGGCCCCCCGTCCCTTACACGCCGGTCGCTCAAAGAAGGTATTTGTTCAGGCGCCTTCCTACCTCTGCAGGCGCCTTCCTACTTTGGGCGCCTTCCAACTGAAAGGGTCGGACGGTTCTTCCGATTCCCTCCTCCTCGGGAGGCGGGCGGGAATCAGGAGAGGACAAAACACACAGACACAATTAACCGTCGATTCCCAGGAAAATATGGGCAAATATGGAAAGTGGGGGGGAAGACAAAAACATTGAAAATGTGGGAAACTATGGGGAATATGTTTATTTGTGTGTATTTATTTGGGTGTCCTGGGGCCCCTTCAGGGAACCCAGTCTGCTTCCCACGCCTTCCTGCTTCGTGCTTCTGCCCACCTCTCTTCGGACCGACGGGGTAATTATGCTCTGGCGCGGCTCCCCCTGCCCCCCGCGCCCCCCCCCCCCCCGCCTCCCGCCGCGCCGGCGTCGGTGCCTCAGATCGCCTCGGAAGTGCCCCTCCGCCGCTCGAGCGCCGCGGGAGAGTCGAGCGGCCGCAAGCCAAACGGCCAAACGGAGGGTCCCCGGTCCCCCTTCGTCTTGTGGAGGAGGATCAGCGGAGAGGCAGCACGTTGCCAAATGATTTCCAGATGTCTAGGACATGTGTTGACATTGGTTTAAACATGTACAGAAACATGTTGTAAACACTAACAACCATTTGCCGACAGTTTAAACACATGTTTTATTCGATGAGAGGACCGTTAGGGTGTCCATCGTCGTGGCATCCACAACCTTTGCCCTGGGCGTCTCCCCCTGCGTCTCGGGCGTTGCCGAAAGTGGCCCTGGACCGAGGTGGCAGCGCGGCTTCCCCAGGCAGGCACACCGATCAGGAAGGGAAAAGCCACACAGACACAATGAATCGTCGATCCCCAGGAGAACATGGGAAAATATAGGAAGTGGGGGGGACGACAAAAACCCAGAAAATATATGGGAAAATATGGGGAATCTTGTGATTTGTGTGTATTTATGTGCGTGTCCCAGGGCCCCTTCAGCAGAGCACCCCGCACGAGGCCCAGAGGGCCCCGGAGGCCGAGAAGCGGCGCGGAGAGTCGTGGCCAGCTCGGGCCAGGCAGTCCCGCGCGAGAGCGCGATGTCGTAAAAGTTGTGGGGACGTCCCGCGCGAGAGCGCGGATTTGAAGTAGACGGCGGGAGCCGTTATTGTCGTTGTTGAATTCTCACGATTGAAGAATACTCTATATGTTGATTCCCCCCCTGGAGCACATCATATTTGTTTCCATTGAAGTGCCCCTCCCTGCACTCGCACTTTGTTTTTTTATGAGGGAGCATCTTCCTCCTTGAACTGTGTCCCTGGCCCCCGGTTCACAACAACAACGGCTCCCGCTTGATACTGCCTCTGAATTTGGTCCAGTCCCCCGCTCCCGCTTGAGGGTTCCTCGCAATTTCCACAAGGATCACGCTCCCGCCTGAGACTTCTTCGCAATTTACTCAGGCGCCGCGCTCTTGCCATTCAGGAATCGCGCGTTCGCTGGGGACTTCTTCAAATTTACTTCGGAATCGCTCTCGCGCTGGAAACTTCCTGGCTAACCACGCAGAACTCACGAAGACAAATACATACCCACCAAAAGTGGTATGATCGAAGACGAAGAGGGCGGGTATCGAGGGTTCGGGACATGCGCACTGAATGACACTCGAGCAGATAAGAGCGAACAGTCTAAAAGTGATTGGTGTTGTTGTTGCTGTTGCTGTTGCTGTTGCTGTTGCTGTTGCTGTTGCGTTGCTGTTGCTGTTGTTGCTGCTGTTGTCGCTGTTGGCGAATGTAGATTATTGAACAGTTATTATTGTTGGACCCTCCACAGGAGCCTTGACGCTCTCGCCTCGGCGCCGGCAACATCTTCATTGAAAATAAGGCTCACGCTCGAGCGGTGTGGGGGGGCGTCAAAACCGACCCCCCAACAGCAACAACACTCCTGTTCGAGATTTCCTCCTTTTTGCGCAGGGCCGGTGCTCTTGCTCGCCGCCGAAAGCCGCCGTCCCAACAAAACCAGCGCTCCCGCTCGAGACCTCCTCCCGTTTTACCTTGGGCAGGCGCGCTACTAACTCTTTCTCTCATCGGCGGCGCCCCCCCGCAACAACAACGCTCCCACTCGAGACTTCCTCCCTTTTTTACTCAAGGCGGTGCCCTTGTTCGCCGTCGACAGCCGCCATCCCGACAAAACCAGCGATCCCGCTCGAGACTTCCTCCCGTTTTACCTTGGATTGGCGCGTTACTCTTTCTCTCATCGGCGCCGCCCCCCAACAGCAACAACGCTCCCGCTCGAGACTTCCTCCCTTTTTTCCTCAAGACGGTGCTGCTCCTTGCCGCCGAAAGTTCCCGTCCCGACAAAACCACGGCTCCCGCTCGAGACTTTATCCCTTCTTACTCAAGGCGGTGTTCCCCGCCGTCCCAACAAAACCAGCGTTCCAGCTCGAGACTTCGTTTTGTTTTACGCTGGACTAGCGCCCTACTCTCTTCAGCATTG